ACAGCACAGCGGTCAGCGCCTCCGCGGCTGCGTCGGTCGCGCCGACCTAGCTGGCCGGTGCGCGCGCGAGCATGTGCGGGCTAGCGCGGCCGCAGAGATGCACCAGCCAACACCAAACACTCATCGCAGTCGCCGCCGCATGGGTTTTGCAAACCAATTTGCGGGTTGGTGGGTTGGATGATTGCGCGAGCAGTGGCGCTGACAACGAAGTGCATGCAACAATTACTTTCCCCACATAGATGGCGCCACGTATATTACACCACGTAGATCGCACCACATATGTTGCACCATCTAGACTGCACCACGTGGTTTTTGCCAACCATCCTGTGTTGTTGGGTCCTCGTTTTGAAGAGACAGCGCCCCGCGTTCTTCTCCTCTTTTCTCCTCCTCCTCTTTTCTCCTCCTCCTCCTCCTCCTCCTCCCCTCCCATCACCATGATCATCATCATCATCATCGTCATCATCCCTTCCCTCTCCCTACACCATCGTCACCATCATCACCGTCACCCATCCTCCTCACCATCGTCACCATCATCGTCCCCGCCGCCCATGTCGTCACACCCTTCACACGTTTCGTGGCCCCACAGGGAACACCACCTAAGGCCACAGTGGCGGTGTTCGCATGCGTCTCCCCCGCCCAGGACAGCGTTTCGTGGCCCCATAGGGAACTCCGCCGAAAGCCACAGTGGGGGTGTTCGCATGCGTCTCCCCCACCCAGGACAGCGCTTCGTGGCCCCATTGTGAACTTCACCGAACGTCCCAGTGGGGGTGTTCGCATGCGTCTCCCCCACCCAGGACAGCTTTTTGTGGCCCCGTAAGGAGCGCCATCGAAGGCCTCAATCGGGCTGTTTGCATGCGTGTTCCCCGCCCAGGACAGCGTTTTGTGGCCCCGTAGGGAACTCCACCGAAGGCCCCACGGGGGGTGTTCGCATGCGTCTGCGTCCCCCCCTCCCAGGACAGCGTTTCGTTGTCCCATTGCATGCTTCACCGGAGGCCCCAGTAGGGGTGTTCGCATGCGTCCCCCCCGCCCAGGACAGTACTTCGCGGCCCCAGGGCGCACCACCGAAGGCTTCAATCGGGGTGTTCGCATGCGTCTCCCCCGCCCAGGACTCCGCTTCGTGGCCCCATTGTGAACTTCACCGGAAGCCCCAGCGGGTGTGTTCGCATGCGTTTCCCCCACCCAGGACCCCCATAGGAAACTCCACCGAAGGCCCCACGGGGGGTGTTCGCATGCGTCTCCCCCTCCCAGGACAGCGCTTCGTGGTCCCATTGTGAGCCTCACCGAAGGCCCCAGTAGGGGTGTTCGCATGCGTCCCCCCCACCCAGGATAATATTTCGCGGCCCCAGGGAACTTCACCGAAGGCTTCAATCGGGGTGTTCGCATGCGTCTCCCCGACCAAGGGCAGCGTTTCGTGGCCCTATAGGGAGCTCCACCGAATGTCCCAGTGGGGGTGTTCGCATGCGTCTCCCCCACCCAGGACAGCTTTTTGTGGCCCCGTAGTGGGGCCCCCAGAAAATGCGTTGCCCACAAAGACGGTACTCACAATTGCATATGGTTGGGTCCTTCGCCAGGCAGATTTCCATGTGTCGCTCCAGTCAAGAGACACCACGCACACACACATATATATACATATATATATACATAGACGTATGTGGATACATAGAAATATGGGAACACGTACATGCCACCACATCGATTTCACCGTATCGATTGTACCACGTCGAATGGACCACGTAAATCGCACCTCGTAGCTCGCACCGCATATTCGGCTAGAGCGCACAGTTTGGGGTCCACGATGGCTGACGCATATGTTCATGTACATATGTATGTATGTGTATGTGTGTGTGTATGTATGGATGCATGTATATATATATATGTATGTATGTATGTATGTATGTATGTATGTATGTATGTATGTATACATTGTTCAGGTGAATACTTGTTCTGTGCCGCCAGCGGCTCAGGTCAAATAGGGGTTCTGGGGTACTTAGTCTTGCTCAGGGGCCCTTTACCAAGAACTCCATATGTGAGGAAGCGTTTATTTAACATCCCTTACACACAAAAAAACCCTCAATGGCGGAACCCTGGGTACAAGGGGTGCTTATTGAAGGAACGCATCCTGAAACATATTTTGCTGTACGAATCGTTGTTACATCGGGTCCTTATTTAGCAATATGTCTTGCAAATCGGTTCCTTCGGCAATGGACTGCACGAGTAATGCTTTTGTAGAACGTTCGAACGCCAGACACCATGAGACAACCGACACGGCTATGCCACACCCCTTTTTCGGTTGAAATTCTTGCACTTGTCCCCAACAGCTCATTCTGCCAGCGCCAGTGTGGTTTGGGTGTTTTTTCCCCGCGGTTTCGGGCGCCCCAGCGTCTTACCGAATGAGTGCTGTAATTCGTTGCAGGAAGAAGTCGCTTGTATACTGGATTCATCATACGTTTTTTTTTGTCTGAAGGTTTCCTTGATCGGTGAGGATACTTGTATAAGGATTCCTTGAACCAGGATTCCTGTAGTAAGAGTTCCCTAGTGAGGATTCCCGGCGTAAGGCTTTCTGAGTACGGCTTTCTGAGTACGGGCTCCTTAGTTCCGATCCCTTTGTAACGCTGCCTTCGAGCGAGGAATCATGCAGCAAGATTTGTTGCGTGAGTGCTCCTTCGTAAGGATACTGTCGCACTGATTCTTTCAGCGCGGATTCCTTTAGGACGGATCCTTGTAGCAAGGACTACTTAGCAAGGGCCTTTTTTATGCATGGCTCTCTAGTGCGGGTTTCTATGGTAATGGCCGCTTTCGCAGTCTGTATATATATATATATAAACATACACACATCAATACATATATATATATATATATATATATATATATGTATGTATACACATATCGTATTTGAACAAGGTTGAGTACACGTCCCTTTACCAAGGATCCCCTATCAGTGTTTCATGCAGCAGTCATTCCTTGAGTGAGGACCTCTGTAAAAAAAGGGTTCGTTAGCACGGGCTCTTTTAGTAATGAGTAATTTCGTGGGGGTTCTTCACATTGCTCATTACTCACGGATTATGTTTGCAGGGGTTCCTAAGGAGGGCTTCGGGCTCCTCAGTAACGATACCTGGGCAAGGGCTTTCCCAACAAGGATTTCTTTACAGCGGCTTCCTCAGTAAGAGCTCCTTGAACAAAGATGCCATTCGAAAGGAACCTGGTGGCAAGGAGTCATTCAGTAAGGATGCCCTGAACAAGGAACCCTTTCATATCCATTCAGGGAGGGCTCGTCCTTCAGGATTCCGTCAGCCCGTGTTTTTTTAGTAGGGATTTGTTTAAATATGGATTCTTCCAACATGATTTTTCAGTGAAAGGCCTTGATAAAGGAAACGTTTCCGTAGGGATTCCAGAGTAAGGATTTCTGAGCACGGGCCCCTTATTTAATGAAAATTCAGCAAGGGTTCCCTGCCGGGGGCTCCTTAATAAAGATCCCTTCGCAAGGGATCCCTTAGTCAGGGTGACTTTAGGACGGCCTCCTTGGTAAGGATACCTTTTCAGTAATCCTTTGCTTTGCACCAATGTCAGCAGCTCTATGCGACTTCCAGATCTTTCCCACCACGGGAAAACCACGCGACAACCGCAGGACAATCGCGGGACGACTCACGTGACAACCGCGGGGCAACGCGTGAGATTGCCGCTGGTCAGCCCGCAGGACAACCGCGGGACACACAGTGGGAATCCCACGGGTCAGCCACGGATGAACCCACGGAACCACGGTGCCACCCACGGGACAAGCATTTGACAACCACGGGACCAGTCATGGCAGAACCACGGGACAGCCGCTGGGACAAAACCCGCGGGACCCCGTAAGACGGATGACCGCAATCATTTTGTTGCGGCCGCCCCGCCCAGACGCTTGGCACGAACCGAAGCCAAGACCGAGCCTGTTGTTCGTTCGTGCCCCCTATCCAAGCTACGATATGATCATGTGGTGCCTATGTCTGGCCCTACTCACCTGTTTATCCGTTTGACAATGTACTACGGTCAATCTTACCCCTTTCCTGCCTGCTAGACCGCACGGGGCAACCTCACGACAACCGCACGGGACAGCCTCAGAATACTCCAAGGATCTGTATATGCCACACTTTCTAAACATTTACTCGTGTCTGTCCCCTGTGTCAGTGCGGCAGGAGTATATTGAGTGAAACGTCCATTCGGGCCCGGTGCCCCGTCTGAATTGGCGCGTGCCTTGAATGCTTCCTTGGCTGTCCGTAGCCTCGATCCCCTTCCTTCCCTCCTCCACCTTCTCCTCCCCCCTCCTGCCTCCTCCCTCCGGGGCTCCTTTCAATTTTTCCGATTCGATTCGATTCGATTTCGATGGCTTCCGATTTCGATTCGATTCGTCTTCCGTCTCCGGATTCCGATTTTGATTTCGATCTCTCGCTAGAGACTCACCTGCCTGCATATTTCCGCAAATTCGACTTCTCCCGACTCGGCCGCCGATTTCTGCCGATCCGATTCGTTTCGATCGCCGAGCCGATTTATCAATTCGATTCCGGGCGCTCCTGCCCTCTCGGAGGCGTGTTTTCAGGAGGCCTCTCGGTGGCACCAGAAAACCTTCTTGAGCCATTTTGCGCGGGGGTGTCATCGGTGGTCTGGGAGCCCAGGCTGCGCGGGACGGGCGTCGCTGGCGCCGTTGCTCGAGGGAAGAAGCACGCCGATCATGGCCAAGATGTCGCGGGATCTTGTCGACGCCGATTTTGGTCATGGTCCATGCCGGTTGTCGCCGACCTGGCGAGGGTGATCCACGAATTAATTGGCGTTGATCACAGTGGACGGTGGCCAGGATCGACACGACGTTTCCGCGCTCAGTCTCGGTCGTGGTCTCCGTTCACTTGTCCCCCGATGACGCTGTGGCTGCGTTCGTCCCAAGTCGCTTGCGTCGGTCGTCTCGTCGCGCACGCGGCTCGGTTTCCCGCTGGAGCGGGCGCGGTCGGGAGTCCAAGTCGTGCAATAAGGGCCTGGATAGCGTCATGGCACTTTCTCGGAGTATGTTCGGCGCATCCACGGTCGCCGACAAATACATCATTCCCACCGCCTTCGAGCAGATGAATGCGGAGTTTGAGGAGGACATCGCGCGGAAGAGAGGCCACATAGCGAGTACCGCCAAGTTCAACATTTTCATAGTCTTGGTGATTCTTGTCGACGCCACGATGATATTCATCGAGGTCGACTTTATGTCAGGGGATTCTCGCAAGGACAGGATCTACTTCTTCGTTCTGGACATCATCTTCGCCCTGTGCTTCATAGTAGAGATGCTCCTGCGGCAGAACCAGCTCGGCTGGGAGTACTTCGTCGACCCGTGGAACGTGTTCGACTACTCCGTGGTCGTGCTGAATTGCGCCGACATCATCGTGGAGGCAAGTGCCGCCATGAGGGCGCGAAGTCATTCGCGGGTCGCGACTCGCGGTTCCTCATCCTTGCCCCCCCGCCCCCACTCGTTTTTCTCCTCTTCCCGGGGGGGGTGGGGCGCGAGGGCGCGAAGTTTTTCGCACGTCGCGCTAGTTTCCCTCATGAAGGCCTCGGAGAACTCCGAGGGGGGCCTGCAACTCGCGGGCACGTTCCGCGTCCTGCGCCTCCTGCGCGTGGCGCGCACGATCAAGGGCCTCAAGGCGTTCTACGGCCTGTGGTTCGTCGTGCAGGGCCTCCTGGAGTCGCTGAGGATGCACGGGGCCAGAGGAAGCCAGACAGGCACACGCGTCTTCGCAGGGCCGCAAGGCTCTCCCGGGTCGGCGCCGGACACACCTCCCCGCACCCCTGGGGGGGATCGGCGCCTCGCTGGCGCCGCCACTGGCGCACTCCGCGCGCTTCACGGAATGGGTGCAGGGAGGGCGTCCAGCGCTGACCCAGCAGATCAGTGGAGACCTTCGAGGCGTGGATTCTCATCGCTTTTCCCAACCCTCTTGTGCTGGGTTCTCGTCTTGAAGAGGTCTCCCTGCCTCCGCGCCATCTTCTGATGGGCACGGGCGGGCTCTTTCGCGGAGCGCGCACGACTCCGCCGTTCTTTCTTTCTCCCTCCTCCTCCCCCTCCTCCTTCGTCGCCTCCTACCTCCTCCTCCGCCTGTATCCTCCTGCATTCTGTGCGCTCCGTCTGGGGCTGCGAGCTGCTCAACCGTCTCCACTTTCGTGGGCTCCTGGGGAATACGGCAGAGGTGAGGGCAGCGCAGATCACTTCGAGACTTCGCGGCTCCCTCGGGGCTGCGAATTGCGCAAGGGTCGCCAATTTCGTGGGCTCTCAGCGGGCATGGCAGAGGTGAGGGCAGCTCAAGTCACTTGGAGGCCTTGCGGCGCCCTCGGGGGGCGCACGTGTGGCCACTTTCGTGGGCTCCTGGGAGGCACGGCGGAGGTGAGGGCAGCGCAGATCCCGTCGAGACCTCGCGGCTCCCTCGGGGGCTGCGAACTGCGCACGTGTGGCCGCTTTCGTGGGCTCCTGGGAGGCACGGCGGAGGTGATGGCAGCGCAGATCTCTTCGAGACCTCTCGGCTCCCTCAGGAGCTACGAATTGCGCACGTGTGGCCACTTTCGTGGGCTCCTTGGAGGCACGGCGGAGTGCAGGGCATATTTCGCGATGTGTTCTTTGGTATGGAGCGTTCGTAAACATAGTCGCCTCGCATGGAGAAGGGGTTTGGTACGTCTCAGGTAATTATGTCTGGTTCTCTAGAGGACGCTGGCGTGGGTCGCCCTGTTGCTTTTCCTCCTCGTCTACTGCATTGCTGTCTCCCTGGTCACGGCCATCCCCAACGAGGAAGCAACAAGGGAGAGATGGCCCGAATTTGATATCTATTTCGGTAGTGTATGGAAAGCCGTGTGGAGTGTCATGCAGATTATTACGCTGGATAATTGGTGCAAAGACATTCTCCGCCCGGTGATGGATGTATCTGCACCTGCTGCCATTATTGTCTTCCTGACGGTTGTCATAGGCACTTTCGGCGTGCTGAATATTGTCATTGCTGTGATGGTGGAACGCATTCGAACCATCGCGCAAGAGAACAAGGATTTGGCTAACAGGGTCTTAGAGCACACGGAACAGGACCTGTTCATGTCAATGGCTTCCGATTTCACGGAGGCCGAACTCAACGAGGATGGCGAGCTTGGCATCCATGAGTTCTCGGAGATGTTGAAGACGCCTTCAATGACGCTGAAGCTGCGGCTGCTTGGGATCATGTCGGACGAGGCAGAGGCTCTCTTTGAGATCATGGACGCCGACCTGAACGGGAGCGTCTCGCCCGAGGAGTTTGTCACGGGCCTCCAGAAGCTGAAGGTGTCCTCCTCCCGCCTCCCTGTCCTCGCCCTTACTCTGGATCGCTTAATAATCGCCCCCCCCCTGGGAGTGCCAGGGGGGGTTGGCCGCGGCGCGTTCGCAGGGGTGCCAGGGGGGGTCTGGGGTTCGTTCCCTTCCCCGCTGGGGCGCGGGGGTGGTGCCGGGGGGGGGGTTGGCCGCGCCGCGTTTTCACGTTTGTCACCCCCCAGTTGATCGATAAGAAGTTTGGAGTACGTACATACTTCTCTCTCCTCTGTCCCCTTCATTCCTGATCCCGCCCTCCGGAGGCCCGCGGACACCGGCCAGAGGCCCGGCCAACAGGGGCCAAAGCCGTTGAACATGGCAGAAGACGCCTGCTGCGCTGCCGATCACGTGGGAAGCTGACCGCGCCCCCCCGCGGGCCGGGCCGCCCGCCCCAGGCGGGCAGCCGGGGCAGGTGGGGGCCGCCGGGGCCTCCCTCCTCTTTCGCGTCACCTGTGGCACCGCCGCCTCCGCCCGTGCCGCACCGCACGCGTGCGCGAGGGCAGCGAGGGCGCGTCCTTCGTGCGGTCCCCGCTCTCTCGCTCCCAGGAGGGGACCCCTGGAGCGCGTCGGCGCGCTCTCCCGCCGGGAGTCCGCGGCAGACCCAGCAGGGGGCGACGGAGGGCTCCTCCCCCCCCGGGTAGCCCCCACGGGGGCGGAGCCGTGTGGCATGTCTTCCCAGCCACGCAGCAACACGGTGGCGCAGCGACACAACAACGGCAGCGACGCAGCGACACAACAACGACGCGACGATGCGACGATTATGTGCATCGTCTGCCACGCTCCCAGCGGGCTTTCCTCCCAGCGACGTGGCGGTATCAGTGCCTCTTGGTTTCCCCGGCTCCCCTCCTTCCTCCCTCCCCTGCCCTCCGTCCCTTCGCTTCCCTTCCTTCCTCCCTTGCCTGCGACGGCTGTGTGCGGCACAGGTTGGAGCGACAATTCATCGTGCACGCGACGGCTTGAACATCTATGACACCACAGTGCAGGGGCCCCGTCCCGCCCGCGCCGACCCTCCAGGGCCCCGCTCTAGCGGACTTGTGCGCTCCGCTCCGTTCCGCTCTCTCCTCCACCCTCCTTCCTTTGGGTATTCGGCGGCGACGATAGGGGCGAATAGCCCAGGGGCGGGCATTACACGTGTTCGCCCGGGAGCCTTGTCGAAAACATAGATCATCGGCGCCCTTGGGTACATGTATTGCTCCCCCCTGGGCTATTCGCCCCTATCGTCGCCTCCGAGGTGTCGATGGACCAGCCCCCATCCCCATCGGGTGAACAGTTTACCCGATGGGGGAGGGGGGGTGGCAATTACACTGCGGGCCGAACCGATTCCCCAGATAGGGGCAGATGCCGTTTCCGTCGGGCTCCGTGGCGCCCATCCCTAGCAAGAGGCGTTGGTTTGGTGGCGTCAAGGAGCCGTGGCCCACTAAGGGTAACAGTAGGTGTAGCGATACTGATTACGTTCCCCCGCTCTCTGCCGAGGGGGTCGCGAAGGGCCAGGACCTGGTCCAGCTGATATGCTTCGCCCAGAAGCAGTGCCAGAAGGCCACCCAGTTCGTGGAGAACGTGAAGGCGCTGAGCAAGCAGGCCCTCTGCATCCTCCTCGCTCTCCTGCCCTCCTCCTCCTCCTCCTCATCCTGTCCTCCGACGTGGCCGCTTCTTAGTGACGTGGCCCCCCCAGGCTCTTGGCCCTTTCCCCCGGGCTAGCTGTGCTTCCATTTTAGTTGTTCGAATGAAGCGGCTCGCGGGCGCCTTTCATGGCCTGTTTCCATGTATTTTTTTCGAGGAAGCGGCTCAAGGGCCCCAAGACGGCCCAAGAGGGCCCCAAAGACGGCCCCAAGGGAGCCTCAGCTGGCCTCCAGTCGGTCCAAGAGGGCTTCGAGACGGCTCCAGAGGCCCTCGAGAGGGCCTCAGGAGGCCAAAAGCGTTGATTACCCTTCAGTTTTCAAAAGGGCCCCAATACGGCCCCGCGAGAGCGCCAAGATGGCCCCAAGAGTCTCCCAAGAGGGCCCGAAGAGGCGGTGCGGGGACTGGGCTGCTTGGGTGTGGGGACTGGCCTGGCCCCAAGACGGCGCAAGAGTCCCAAAACGGCCCAAAAGGGCCCCCCAAAGACTCCCAAGCAGCCCCGGGAACGCCAAGTAACACCATGGCTCCCCGCAGCGAGCGGTGACGTTACAGGCTCTGCACACCAAGGCTCCTCAGAGCGCGGTGACGTAAAGAGCTCTGAGCAGCAAGGCTCCCAAGAGCGAGCGGCAACGTAAGAGTCTCTGAACACCAGGGCTCCCAACAGAGAGCGGTGACGCAACAAGCTCATAACGCCAAGGCTCCCCAGAGCAAAGGGTGTCAGGAGCCCTCCCGGATCAGTTCCTGCAGCGCTCTTTCCGTTCCCGTGCCGGCCCAGGTCTAACGGAGTCGGGGGTCACGCGCACCCAGACGAGACTTCGCTGCTCCTCGGGTGTCTGCGAACTGCGCAATTGTCACCACTTTCGTGGGCCTATGGGAGGTCCAGCGGAGTTGAGGGCCACGCGCACCCAGACGAGACCTCGCTGCTCCCTGAGCGGTTGCGAACTGCGCAATTGTCACCACGTTCGTGGGCTCTTGGGCGGTCTCGCGGAGTCGGGGGCCACGGGCACCCATTTGAGACTTCGTTGCTCCTTCGAGTGCTGCGAGCTGCGCAATTGTCACCACGTCCGTGGGCTCCTGGGAGGTCCAGCGGAGTCGGGGATCACGCAGATCCAGCCGAGACCTCGCGGCTCCGTGGGAGGCCACGAAGTGCGAAAATGGCGCCACTTTCCTAGGCTCGTGGGGGGCACTGCGGAGGCGAGGGCAGCGCAGATCGTGCATATCTGGCGATGTGTTCCGTCGTGCAGAACGCTTAGGCAACATGTCCGCCTCGCGTGGAGAAGGGGTTGGGTACGTCACGGGTCATTTTCCAAGGGGGTCCCCGGAAATTCCACACCCTTCTCGTGTTTTGGGTCGTCTCGGAGGCCTCTTGTCGGCCTGATTTGGATCTCTCGGGGCCTTCTGGGGGCCTCTCGAGGCCTCTTAGGGCCTCTTGGGGGATCTTGGGACCATCTCGGGGCGGAGGGCTCAAACTGTTAGTTCGTGCTCCCCCTCTTGGGCACTCTTCGGGCTGGGGGCCTCTTCGGCACCTCTTGGGGGCCCTTGCGCCGTGTTCGGGCGAATTGGGCGCCTCTTGGGCCGTCTTGGACGCTTTGAAAACCAATGGATTTTTGACGATGTTGGCCCATTGGGCCGTCCTCCAGGGCTCTCAAGACGGCCCAGGGGGCGCCCAAAAGGGCTCCAGGACAATCCTCGGGGCCATGTTAGGCCATGTTGGACATGCATGTCCCGAACAACGCGCTCTTGGCCTCTGGAAAAGTTACGCGGGGAGCGCCCGAGAGCGCCCGGGAAAGCCCGAAACTCCAGGCTGTGGGTCCCTTCGAGAATCCGCCGCAGTGCCCTGAGGCACAGGTTTGGATGTCCCGAGGTCTCTTCGAATTGCATTTCTTCTTTAAGGCGCCAGAGCTTTCCGTTGCGACTTTTTCACGACGCGCGAGGGGTCGGGGGTCTGAGCCGACTGAGCCGATCCCAGGCGGACGTGATCCAGGAGCGGCTCAACGGCATGGGGCACGGGATCGCCCGCGAGCTGAAGTACCAGAAGGAGTGCTCCATCCGCCACGACGAGGTGCTGAAGCACGCGACGGAGCGAGTGCAGGCGGGGCGGCGCGGGAAGCCCAGGCCTCTGGTGCCGTAGCTCTTCCAGTGCCATCGCCCCGGAGCTCCAGCGTACGACAGGTTCGCGCCGCGTCCACGCGGCGACGACCCCAGCGCTGGCGTTCAAGGCTGCACGCCGCCAGTGGCCCAGAACCGGTCTGTATCGAACGACCTGCGCTATCGGAAAGACGCGATCGCTCAATGTTGAACGAGCCACGCGGTGTCAGAAACCTACCTACGCCGACGTCATCGCGACACGAACCTTGCGTGTCAAGACAGACAATGCGGGGTTCTTCCGAAGTTTTCTGCCTCGGGTGCCTCCGTGACCCTGGGGCCGTTCAGCAGCAACACAGGACGAAGAGACGGCGCCCGGGCAGGGGTCGGGGCTTCGGGAACCCCGTACTGCAGAAGCAGTGCAGCGGATTTTTGGCGGCTCTTGCGCCGAGAAGGGTCCCCAGCAGCGAGTGCATCAGCGGCGCGCAGGAGGGTGGCAGGAGAGCGCCAACGTGGAGGAGGAGGAGGAGGAGGAGGAGGAGGAGGAGGAGGAGGAGGAGGAGGAGGAGGAGGAGGAGGAGGAGGAGGAGGAGGAGGAGGGCGTCGCCATCTCTCGCGCCGCGCGTTTCTCGGCCGGCCTTGGGCCCCAGGGCCTTGGCGGGTCCAGCCGACTCGAGGAGCGCCGCAAGAAAATCAGGTCGAGGGCTGCGGTCGTGACCCCTTGCGGTGCTGCCATCTCTGTGCGCGGCGTCGGGCTCTCAGGGCCGGTGCTGGTGCTGCTCCTGATCTTCGGCGTCTCGTGTCGGGCCCTGGGGCTGTCGGCCAGGAGCCGCCAGCCAAACCCTGGGAGGAGGGTCGAGATTCCAGGGTCCGCGTGCTCACCCAAACCGCGGCCGCCGTCGGAGGTGTGGGATGTCGAGGCCCGCGACCTCCCACACCTCCGACGACGGCCGTGTGGCGCAGCTCACGCGCAACACGCCCACCATAATAAAAACACATCCCCGGCTCGGGGACGCATCTTTCAGTGGACGCGTTGCGCGTGGGCTGCGCTCGCAGGGCTGCGCGCGGAGCGCGCCGTCTTTTTTCCCAGCGCTGGTGCGCCTCGCCAGCGGAGCGGCCTGCGCAACGCGCCACCGCTCGATCTAGGCTGCCGCTCGATAGGGGGGCCGAAGGCGGGCACGGGCACATCTCTTGGCGCGGAGGCCAGCAGTGCGACGCGGGGACTTATACCTAGGACGGAGCGCCGCGTCCTGCGGACGCTGGGAACGGAAGGGGGGGGGGTCGAACTGGGGGGCCGCCCCGCCCCCCCACCCTGAGTTGCAAAGAGGGGGGATTCGAACCAGGTTGGGGTCTTCTCCTTTGTCCAAGGGTGGGGAAGCGTTGAACCAGGGGCGGGGCTCCCCTCTCCTCTCTCCAACGGGATGGAGGGGGTCGAACCGGGGGGATGCCCCCCCTCCCCTCGAGTGGCAGGGGAAGGCAGGAGATTCGAAAGGCCCCACCTCCCGTGAATTGGAAAGGGGGGGGTCGAACTGGGAGGGCCCCCCCCGCCCTTGCAACCGACGACGCCGAGCGCCGGCGCTAGCGCTGTCGCCGTTGGGGGCAGCGGCATCGAGGGGCCTCCCCTGCAACCGACGACGTGCGCCGCCCGAGCAACGACGACGGTGACGACGAGAAAGAAGTCGACGGCGACGGCGACGGCGACGGCGACGGCGACGGCGACGGCGACGGCGACGGCGACGACGACGGCGACGGCGACGACGACGATGACGGCGACGGCGACGGCGACGATCTTGCCGACGGGCGACGGCGACGATCTTGGCGACGGCGACGGCGACGGCCACGATGACGACAGCGACGGCGACGGCGACGGCGACGGCGACGGCGATGGCGACGACGGGCGACGGCGACGAAGACGGCGACGGCGACCGCGTCGGCGACGGCGACGGCGACGGCGACGGCGACGGCGCCGACGCTGCCGACGGCGACGGCGACGGTGACGGCGACGGCGACGGCGACGGCGCTGCCGACGGCGACGACGACGATGACGGCGACGGCGGCGGCGACGGCGACTCCGACGGCGACGCCGACGCCGACGCCGTCGCCGACGCCGATGCTGACGACGACAACGACGGCGACGGCAATGACGATGCCGATGCCGACGCCGACGGCGACGGCGACGCCGACGCCGACGCCGACGCCGCCGCCGACGCCGCCCACGCAGACGACGCCGATGACGTCGACGACGCCCGCCATCGACGCCGGCGACGGCGACGACGACGACGACGACGCCGGACAACGACGACGTCGACGACGGCGACGGCGACGACGACGACAACGACGACGACGACGACGACGGCCCTCTCCCCAGTTCGAACACCCCTCCCTTGGGGGGGGGCGTTGGCTCTCCTCAGTTCGAACACCCCTCCCTTGGGCAGGGGCGTTGGCTCCCCCCCGTTTCGGACCCCCCCCTGATCACGGGGGGCGCCCTGGTTCGAACTTGTCCCCCCTTTGGACAGGGGGCGGGCGATACGCGAGAGGTGGTCTGGCCCATATCGCCTGAACCATCCTCAACACCTCTTTGAGTTCGGGGATAACATGACCTGAGGTTGCCTCGTTCTTTTCGCTTGAGACATCGTCGCCACGCTAGGCTTTGAGATGCCGCCTGCGAGGTGATCCCGTCAGTTTCGCCTGAGACGTCCCCGCAATTCTGGGCAACGAGATGCCGCGTGCGAGGGGGTCCAGCCAGTTTCGCATGAGACGTCCACGCAATTCCGAGCAACAATTGAGGGGTGCGAAGCGAAGGAGGAGGGGACGGAGGAGGAGGAGTAGCAGGATAGCTATGAGGACGAGGAGGGAAACGCATAATAAGTGCTCTTGCTCTCAATGCTCTCGGGACACTTCTGGTCGCCAGGTCTTGACGTGGATCGATCGTGCTTGGTGATGCAGGCGTGTTTTCCCCCTCCTCCTCCCCCTCCTCCCTCCCTGCCTCTGCCGCTGGGCTTCGCACGGATGTCAAAAAGTGTGCCACGTGCACGTTCGCGCCTAGGTTGGGGGGATTTCTCGGACAGTCCGCTTGTTTTACGGGGGTGGAGGTGTGTGTTCGGAGCCGTGTGGTCCTCGCTGGTCACTTCGGTTGTCTTTTGGAGCTGTTTTGGGCCCCATCCAGGTCTTGCCTTGGCTGGCGGGGGGGGGGGGGCAGTGCACCAGTGCCTGGGTGCCCGGGTCGCCCGGGACAGCTCCAGGCGACCCCGGCAATCCCAACGGCGGTGCCGGAGAGGTGCCAGGGAGGGGTTGCCCTCAAAAGAGCTGGGTGCGCCCCATGGCCCACAGAGAGCCATCCTCGGAGCCTCGGGCTCCGAGATGCCCTGACTTGATGTGCTCTGGCTCGCTTCGTTTGAGACGTCCTCACAACTCTGGATTCCAAGATGTGGTTCGCGAGGTACTCAGGCCCGTTTTGCCTGAGACGACCACGGAACACCCGGCTTCGAGATGCCCTGAATTGAGGTGCTCTGGTTTGTTTCGTTTGAAACGTCCTCACCATTGTGGGTTCCAAGACGTGGTCCGCGACGTACTCAGGCATGTTTCGCCTTAGACATTTTGGGAATCCCTGGCTTTGACCGTTCGGCCTGAGACGTCCTCTCAACGCTGGGTTGAAGATGCGGTTCACGAGGTGCTCAGGCCTGTCTCGCTTGAGACATCCTCGGGAAACCGGGTTTGGGTTCCGAGATGCCCTGACTTGAGATGCTCAGTCCCGTTTCATTTGAGACATCTTGATTCGGTTGTTCGCATGAGACATCTTCGGATCCCCAGCCTTCGGTGACATGAGGTGCTCTGGCCCGCTTCCCGTGATACGTCCTCACCATTCTGGGTTCCAAGATGGGATTCGCCAGGTACTCAGGTACGTTTCGCCTTAGACATCTTGGAAATCCCTGGCTCTGACCGCCTGAGACGTCCTCGCAACGCTTGGTTGAAGATGCGGTTCACGAGGTGCTCAGGACTGTTTCGCTTGAGACATCCTCGGAACCCAGGGCTTCGAGGTGCCTTGACTTGAGGTTCTCTGGCCCGCTTGGCTTGAGATATCCTCGCAACTCACGCCTCTGAGATCCAGCATGCGGCTCGCGAAGTGCTCTGGCCCGTTTCGCCTGTGACATCCTCACAACTTTGGATTCCGAGATGCGGTTCGCGAGGTATTCAGGCCCGTTTCGCCTGAGACATCCTCCGAACCCTGAGCTACTGCGAGCTGCCCTTGATTGAGATGCTCCGGCCCGTTTCGCTTGAGACGTTCTTGCAACTCTGGTTTCCAAGACGTGGGCCCGTTTCGCCTGAGACATCCTCGGAATCTCTGGCTCCGACATGCCCTGACTTGAGGTGACCCGGGTGTAAGCGCGCCACACTTGAAGGCGACATTGACGGAGTTGTTGTTGGGGTTGCCCCCGGTACCGGGGAAAGTTGGGGACTAATAGAACGTGACAGAACAAACGAGAAGTCGCCATGTATTTCCTCCTCGCAACCAGCAGGTTCTGCCCACTCTGAGCATCGAAGAAGAAAGCACGGTATAATCATAATAATCATACAATTCAGGAGTTTTGCGCGGATTTCTCTGATCGGCGCTGGACCCCGCTGGTGGTGGCGCGCTCCGCGCGCGAGGCAGGGTGGTCCAGCGCCGATCCTGGAAAGCCATGCGGACCTCCGAAAGTTTACATGTATGGTTTTTGCCCTATGACAGCAGTTCCTGCCGACCCTGAGAAGGATTTGCTGCCAGCTGTCGCCGCGGACACTGGCGGTCGTTTGACAACATTTGCTATCCGTTTCGGGCGTGTTCAATGCTCCCTCCCCTTCGCTGGTCTCTGGAGGCATCTGGAGGCGTCCGAGGGTTCCAGAGGTGCAAAGATGCCCAAAAACCTCAAATCCTCCTTGCCCAACCGGCCCCTTCCGTGCCGACGCCCTCGCCTCGCTCCAAGGCGCGGGCAGGCGGGAGGAAGAGAGCCTCGTGAGTGAGCACGGAAGGGGCTCGTCGCGGAAGGGCTCGGTTGGGCCGTGCCCGATCAGGTGATCGGCAAGCTCGACAAGTCTCGCCAGATGCAGTTCCCCACGATCAGCTAGCCGCCGCCAGCACCGAGAGGGAGCGAGAGAGAGCAGGCGGCGACCGATGTCGGGGCAACGCCAACCGACGCTCCCGCCGCTCCTTCCTCCTCCTCCCCTCTCCTCCCTCCGCCCTCCTCCCTGCTCCTCCTCATCCCTCTCCTTTTCCTCCTCCTACTCCTCCTCCTCCTCCTCCTTCGCCTTCCTCCTCCTCCTCCTCCTTCCCCTTCCTCCTCCTCCTCCTCCTCCTTTTCCTCCTCCTGCTCCTCCTCCTCCTCCTCCTCCCTGGCAGCCTCGATCCTGGGCCCCGGATCGGTGCATACTACGCCCAGACACCCATTGTATTTCGAAAAACAAAACAGGTCTCCGCAGTCTGCTCGTTGAGGCTTCCGGAGGCCCGTGTAGGAGGAGGAGGAGGAGGAGGAGGAGGAGGAGGAGGAGGAGGAGGAGGAGGAGGAGGAGGAGGGAGGAGGAGGAGGAGGAGGAGGAGGAGGAGGAGGAGGAGAGGAGGAGGAGGAGGAGGAGGAGGAGGAGGAGGAGAGGAGGAGGAGGAGGAAGGAGGGAGGAGGAGGAGGAGGAGGAGGAGGAGGAGGAGGAGGAGGAGGAGGAGGAGGAGGAGGAGGAGGAGGCGGAGGAGGAGGAGGAGGAGGAGGAGGCGGAGGAGGAGGAGGGGAGGGAGGAGGAAGGAGGGGAGGAGGAGGAGGAGGAGGAGGAGGAGGAGGAGGAGGAGGAGGGAGGAGGAGGAGGAGGAGGAGGAGGAGGAGGAGGAGGAGGAGGAGGAGGAGGAGGAGGAGGAGGGGAGGAGGAGGAGGAGGAGGAGGAGGAGGAGGAGGAGGAGGAGGAGGAGGAGGAGGCGGAGGAGGAGGAGGAGGAGGAGGAGGAGGAGGAGGAGGAGGAGGAGTGAGGAGGAGGAGGAGGAGAGGAGGAGGAGGAGGAGGAGGAGGAGGAGGAGGAGGAGGAGGAGGAGGAGGAGGAGGAGGAGGAGGAGGAGGAGGAGGAGGAGGAGGAGGAGGAGGAGGAGGAGGAGGAGGAGGAGGAGGAGGAGGAGGAGGAGGAGGAGGAGGAGGAGGAGGAGGAGGAGGAGGAGGAGGAGGAGGAGGAGGAGGAGGAGGGGAGGAGGAGGAGGAGGAGGAGAGGAGGAGGAGGAGGAGGAGGAGGAGGAGGAGGAGGAGGAGGAGGCGGAGGGGAGGAGGAGGAGGAGGAGGAGGAGGAGAGCGAGGAGGAGAGGAGGAGGAGGAGGGGGAGGGGAGGAGGAGGAGGAGGAGGAGGAGGAGGAGGTGGAGGAGGAGGCCCGGAAACGGCCAGCAATCGCCCACCTTTTCCGGCACTCGTCCTCCTCGCCAGCTTTCGCTCGCAGTTGCGGGCCGCATTTCGTGGCATGTTGGTTGCGCGCGGACGCGCCGAGGAGTTCCTTAAGACCGGTTTCGCGCCGCGAAACCAATACAGTGGGGGCCCATGCCAAGAACCACCCTGCTTGCCTCCAGGATGCCCTGGGTTTCTTGGGTTTCGATGGTTTTGCTGTGGATAGCGTGACGTGCTCACACCAAAAATCAGTGGACGCCCTGGTGTCTCAGGGTTGGGTTTCTTGCAGAAGGTTTCTTGTGGTCGAGCCCCTACTGTAATTCGACCCCGCCTGCTCGGGCCCCGTCCAGGCGGCCTGCGCGGTCGGGTGCTGCCAGGAGGTGGCCCTGGCCCCAGGTGGGCCCCGTGTTGTCCAGGGAGGCCCAGCGTGGCCCCCATAGCAACACAGTACCGGGGGGGGACTTATACCCAGCCACCGCCTGGAGGATCGATTTTCGGGGACCTCGAGAGGCGGTGGGCATCGATACATTCGGGCGCCCGGGGCCAAAATATATCCATATTCACCGCCCGCCGGGTCCCCAGGACGCCGGCTCCCGGGCGGTGGATATGGATAAATCCCCGCCTCGCATTAACGATTCGCAGAGGGCCACCATGGATCTTAAAGTCGAGGATCCCCACTGCGCTTACCCAGCGTGGCCTCCCAGTGCAACAGAGCACTCCTAACGAGGCTCAGGCGGCCACCGTGGGTCCCCAAACAGGGCGCAGGTGAGCTCACTGAGCGCTTACCCCACTCGGCTCCGCTGGTTTGCACGCAGCCTGTGCCAGCCCTTCTTACACCGCCCGCGTGGTACTGAAGTCGGGGAAATGTAAGACTCGAGTACGCCGGATCTCGGGTTTGCTGAAGCTCTTTTACGAGCGCGTCCTCGATGTTGCCGGTCCAGTTTTCGTGGGATGTCTGCGGCGGGAGTTTGCGTCAAATTTCAGACTGGGCCGCGTCATTTTCATGATGGCTCCGTCAGACCAATCCGAGTCCCCCGAAGCCGAGTCTTACGTCTCCCCAATGAAGGGTTTCGGCGGACAAGCGCACGCTGGTGCCAACGCGAGTTCCGAGGACTAGCGAGAAGTGTTGCGAAAGGCTGGGGCCAGCTCAGGCCAGGATTCCCTTCCCAGACCTGCGATGTCTTGACCTTTCAATTCGGGCCCCCCCGAGCTTCAGGCCACTTGCCAGGGGCTAGTTTTTCATCCTGAAGCGCTTTCTGATGATCCCGGGGCCCAGCGAGGGCCCCAGACGCCGAAAACGACGAGCAAGATATCCGATCGATCCGATCCCATATCGTCCTGGCCGGCCCGATCCGACTCGGTTGCGATGTTTCGACGATCGGATGTGGCCCGATGCTTGCATGGCGCTGTTGTGCATCCTGGCGCGGCCGATCCGATTCGATTCCGACCCCTTACCAGATGAGGAGGAGGAGGAGGAGGAGGAGGAGGAGGAGGAGGAGGAGGAGGAAAAGGAGGAGAAGGAGGAAATCGCTGTCGATCCGATCCGATTTGGCGACCCGACGCTAGCTGCTCATGCCCCTGGCGACCCCCGAACAAGCGCAGGCGCGTGGCTGTCTGAGGGGGCGCCCCGCCATCCCCCCCGCCGCTCTCCGCCTCCGCCGACGCGTCAGTTTGATGCGGCAACGCCATCGCGCGGGCCGACTCGCGCACGGCCCCCCTCGCTGGCCTCAGCCATCCCCCCCGTGATCGTTTCATCGAGGACGCCGGCGGCGCATCACCGGCCGCTCCCTGGGGGGAGTTGGCCGAAGTGGTGCGTAGCATCGGAAATCGTGACGCGGCGCGTATGCCAGCTATCAAATAGCCGTCGGCCCATCCCGCCACCGTGGTTGGGTTTTGGGTCGGAGTCCTCATGGATGCTTCCTGGGGTCTCTCGAGAGGCCTCTCGGGGGCTCCCAGGAGGCATCAGGAGGCCACAGAAAGACTCAAGAGGCCACAGGATGTTCCAAGAGGCTCTAGGAGGCCCCAGGAAGCTCAGGGAGGCCTCAGGAAGCGACAGGAGGCCCCGGGAGGCCAGAGGAAGCGCCAGGAGGCCTCGGAAGGCAACAGGAGGCCCCGAGAGGCCCCAGGAGCAGGAGGCCTCAGAAGGCAACAGGAGTGGCTCCAATCCCATGTGTTTTACGTATGCTCCTATAGATTGGGCCTCACCTGGAGCACCTTGATGTTATACGTATGTTTCTATGGATTGTCCTTCTCCTGTGTACTTATGTTCCTATAGGGCCTCTGCTGGGGCACGAGTCCTTTGTGTTTTACGTGTGTTCCTATAGATTGCCCCCTTCTCCTGTGGCGCCAATCCGCAATGTTTTATGTACGTCTGTTGCTATAGATTGGGCCTCTCCTGGGGCACGAATCCTCCCTAGGAGGTCCCAGGAGGCCCCAAGAGGCTCCTGGAGGCTCCAGGAAGCCCCAGTAGGTTTCAGGAGGCCCCAGGAGGCCCCAGGAGGACCCAGGCTCATGCGCAGAGACGCGCTCGTACTACTGAGGCTGATTCATACTCCAATTCATTCTCAGTTAGATTCATGTCCAGCCCGTCACAACTGAAGCCCGTTTATATTCGAAAGCTCTTGCGCCTAGACATTCACGGCGGACAGGTCCATGCGAATAGATGCACATATGGGGAGCTCCACGCAGTGAATAGTTCTTGTAGGGTGGGGGATCCCTAAAACAGCACGCGCAGACGGCCGAGGAAGTTGGGGGTGGCAGCCGTGGTGAGGGCGTGGTGAGGGGTCCCTGCGACTGATTTTGTAGGGTGTGGGGTCCCTAAAACAGAACAGGGTCCCTAAAACAAAGGTCCAGGAGGCTGGGCGTGTCAGGCATGGTGGGGGCGTGGTGGGGGGTCCCAGCGCCTGTTCTTGCAGGGTGGGGGGCCCCCAAAACGGCACGCACAGGGTCCAGGAGGCTGGGGGTGTCAGACGTGGTGGGGGCGGGGTGGGAGGTCCCAGCACTTGTTTTTGCAGGAAGGGGGGACCCAAGCAGTATGCACAGAGTGTCCAAGAGGCTGGGGGTGTCAGACGTGGTGGAGAGGTGGAGGCGTGGTGGGGTGTCCCGGCGCTTGTTTTTGTAGGGCGGGGGGGTCCCCAAAACGACACGCATAGGGTCCAGGAGGCTGGGGGTGTCAGACGTGGTGGGGGCGGGGTGGGAGGTCCCAGCACCTGTTTTTTCAGGGTGGGGGGACCCAAGCAGTATGCACAGAGGGTCCAGGAGGCTGGGGGTGTCAGACGTGGGGGGGGCGTGGTGGGTGGTCCCAGCGCGTGTTTTTGTAGGGTGGTGGGGTCCTAAAGCAGCACGCACAGGGGGTCCGAGAGGCTGGAGGTGGCAGACGTGGTGGGGGCGCGGTTGGGGGTCCCTTCGCTTGTTCTTCTAGGGTGGGGGGTTCAGGCACGCACCCGAAAGCGCCTGCCACCGCCCGACTCCTGCACACGAGAACCAGCGAGCACTGTAAGCCCCTGACCCTTGCAGGGTGGGGGGTCCCTAAAACAGCGCACACAGAGGGTCCAGGAGGCTTGGAGTGTCAGATGTGGTGGGGGCGTGGCGGGGGTCCCAGCGGCTGTTTTTACATAACAGCGAAGACTGATAGGTCTCTAATGGTGTCAAAAGAAAGCATCTGATGACTCCCTTTTGTCGGGTGGGGGTATTAAAACAGCACGCGCAGAGGGTCCAGTCTTGCAGTCGGCTCGGGGTGTCAGGCGTGGTGGGGGCGTGGTGGGGGGTCCCAGCGCTTTTTTTACGGTGGGGAGTCCCTAAAACAGCACGCACAGAGGGTCCAGGAGATTGGGGGCGTCAGACGTGGTGGGGGCACGGTGGGGGGTCTCGGCGCCTGTTTTTGTAGGGTGGCGGGGCCCCTACAACAGCGCACGCAGAGGGTCCAGGAGGCTGGGGGTGGCAGATGTGGTGGAGGCGTGGTGGGGGGTCCCGGCGCAAACGTTTTGAAAGGCGGTGGCGCTGTGTCTATCAATAAGGACGTTGCACACGCCTCAGGGGTCAGCGGTATTTCCTCCCGAGATAAACGCTCGCTACACAGGCCAACCCTCCCCACCCGGGTAACGCTAACGATCGTATCGTGGGAGGGGCCTGGACCCCTCCTACGTGCTGTGGCGAACGCAGGCGGTTGATGCGCCAGTGGCGCGGACGCACCTTGGGCGGGTGCTCGCCGCGGCCGCCGTTACCGTTACCCTCCCGCCCGACTCCCCCCCAGGTAGCGACGGTTACCCGGGAAAGACCTCCAGCGCATGAAACCGGCATTGAGAGGAGGGAAGGGTATCGCCTCCGCCGCTCGTCCTGGAGAGCCCTCGTAGCCACGGCTGGACCTCTCTTCGGGGGAGGCCTTGGGAACAGAGGTATATGTGATCACCTTTTCGTCCAGCCCGACGCCCGGTGGGGGCGACCAGGGGGCGCCAATTTTTCGGGGGCGGCGAGACCCAGACCTCCAACGGATTGAAAACACCAAGAGGGTTTTTTTCTACGTTTTCGGCTTCTGGCCCTCTCTAGGCCTCGTGACCATCAAACAACGATTCGGGACGAAAAGCCGGTCCTAGGGAATGGGTCGAGACCTCTGGGGATCGACGTTGTGAATTATGACGTCGAGTGTCTGGGTCTCTTCGGTCGGATGAGATTGGTGCATACGGGAACATTCGTCGGCTCTCCGAGTTCTGCCAGCCTCGGGATGCCCTCCAGCAGCTCCGCCTCGCCAAGGGTGTTCTGGGCGTGCCCTGGATCGTTCAGGCCAGCTTTTGGGCCCCGCGGGGCAATCAATGAGCCACTCTGGAAGAGCCCGACTTTTTTTCTGGTGACGCGCTTTCTTCCGCAACACACACGACGTCGGATGCCAGGCTACCCCTTCCCCTCCCTTTCTTCCGCTCTGGTCACTCCCTCCTCCCTCCTCCTTCTCTCCCTCCTCCCTCCCTCGCTCGCCTCTCGCTCCGTCCTTCCTACTCGTCTCTCCATCCTCCTCCCCCTATTTCCCTCGTTGTCCCCTCCCTTTCTCCCCTCCTTTCCCCCCTTCCCTCTTCCTTTGCTGTCTTCTCCCCCCCCTTTCCCTCATCCTCGTCCTTCTTCTCCTCCTCCTTCTCCTTCTCCTCCTCCTCCTCCTGATCCTCCTCCTCGTCCTTCTCCTCCCCTGCCTCTCTACGATTATCCTCCTCCTCCTCCTCCTCCTCCTTTTCCTCCCCCACATCTCCATGATTCTCCTCCTCCTCCTCCTCCTGATCCGCCTCCTCCTCCTCATGATCCGCCTCCTCATCCTCCTTATCCTTCTCCTCCTCCTCCTGCTCGTCCTCCTCCTCGTCCTCCTCCTCCTCCTCCTTCCCGCCTCCTCCTCCTCCTCCTTCTCTTCCTCCTCCTCCTCGTCCTCCTCCTCCTCCTCCTCCTCCTCCTCGTCTTCCTCCTCCTTGGGCGACGCGCACAAGAGGGTGGCGCGAGCGGGGAGGTCCGCGGAGACGCCGCCCGCCCTCTCGGACGCCCCACCGTCTCCTCTCAGAGAGAGAAGGCCAGTCCCCTCTGCGCCACCCCCTCGTGCGAGCTGCCACACGAGGCCAGTCACCGTATGGAGGTGCAGGAGGAGGAATGAGAAGAGGAGGAGAAGGAGGAGGAGGAGAAGGAGGAGGAAGAGGAGGAGGAGGAGGAGGAGGAGGAGGAGGAGGAGAGGAGGAGGAGGAGAGGAGTAGGAGGAGGAGGAGGAGGAGGAGGAGGAGGGAGGAGGAGGAGAAGGAGGGAGGAGGAGGAGGAGGAGGAGGAGGAGGAGAAGGAGGAGGAGGAGGAAGTGGAGGTGGAGGTGGAGGTGGAGGTGGAGGTGGAGGTGGAGGAGGAGGAGGGGGAGGAGGAGGAGGAGGAGGAGGTGGAGGAGGAGGAGGAGGAGGAGGAGGGAGAGCCAAGGAGGGGGGAGGAAGAGGATGAGCGACGGGGGTAGCGCCACCTCCTCCTATCCTGACCCGCCGGTCCCCGCGGGCAGCGCTGCGCGCGGGCCACCGCTGAGCTGACTTGGGGCACGGGCGCGCAGCGCCCCCAAGGGGTGGCGCGCCTCGACCTGCTGCGCCCCCCCCCGCTGCCCTTGCGCGCCGCCGAAACAGAGCCCATGGGCGTTGCCGCCGCTCTCCGTTCGGGAAAACTTGACGGGTGCCCAGGGCTTATCTTTCTGCGGCACTTTTCGAGCGGGACCGATCCGTGAGGGTCCCAGGGCGCAAAACGGGGCAACTTCGCCCGCAGCGATAAGATCGGGACGCCGGGATCTCAGTGGAGGGCTGGAGAGGCGAGTTCTTGTCTGAGGAGGGGCTGCGGCCCCGACCAAGGGTGGGGGAAACGAAAGACTCGGGCTCGCCGGTACTAGGGTTTTCCGACACTTTCTGGCAATCCCGTCTTGAGTTTTGACGGCCAGGTTTTCGTCGGGTGTTTGCAGGGGGAGTTCGCGTCAAAGTTCAGATAGGGCCTCGTAATTTTTCTGACGGCCCCGTCAGGCCAACCCGAGTCTTTCAACCTCGAGTCTTACGTCTCCCCGATTCGTCGGAGTGCCACTGTCGCAGCCGTGGTCGCGGTCGTGGTCATCATCGTCGTCGTGGTCGTGGTTCCAGATTTTCTCGCTTTGCGAACAGATCACGACCGAATGACTCTCAGCAAATTTCAGCTTCCAGAGGCCCTCATCGGGCCCCAGGACCGTAGAACTACGGCTTGGGAACATGGCGGCGGAGTCTCGGGGTGGTCGTCGTCTCGGTGGTGGTGGTGGTGGTCGTCGTCGTGCTCCTCCTCCTCCTCCTCCTCCTCCTCCTCCTGACACTCTTTCTCTTGCAGCCAGCGTGCGAGTTACCCAGACCTGTGCGCCTCCTGGCTGTCTGCGCCCTTCCAGAACTTCGCCAGGTGTTCGATTTGTTTCGATGGCTTTTGTTGGGTGTTGGAGGCTTTCTTGCCCTGAGTCGCCTTCCAGCAGCTGCGCCTCGCCAAGAACGTTCCGGGGGACCCCGAACCGTCCTGAACGGTTGCCGGAGTCCCGAGTGACGGCCCGAACGCCAGACATCCAGCACCCTCCAGACTGGAGGATGCTGGTTGTCTTCTGACTTCTCGGGGTTCCCAGTTTCTCGCACTGCAACGTAAGGATTCGTCCAGCGCTCAGAGGGTAAACCAGAAGCGCCCCGCGGAGCGCCAGGAGGAGCGCCCAGGAGCACGCCAGGGCGAGCGCCCGGGATAGCTCAGAAGAGCTCCAACAAGCGAGCCCCGAAGGGCGCCCTGAACAGCGCCTGGAAAGATGGCCCAGACGAGCACCTGCAATAGCTAGCGGCTGGACGTGTTCCCGGACGCGACCCATTTCGCGACCGATGCAGTGTCTGATGCTTTCTTTTTCCCAACCATCTTGTGGTGTTGGGTCCTCGTTTTTGAAGAGACCGCCCCGCGTTCTTTCCTCCTCTTGCTGCCCCCTCCCTCCTCCTCGCATCATCATCATCGTCATCATCATCGTCATCATCATCATCATCATCATCATCATCATCATCATCATCATCAACATCATCATCATCATCATCATCATCATCATCATCATCATCATCATCATCATCATCATCATCATCATCATCATCACCACCCTCACGAGGATCGTGGTCTCATAGGAGCTCCACCGAAGGCGCCAGTAGCAAAGTGCGCATGGCGGTCTCGGGCCATTTCGGCACACCCCTCACGAGGATCGTGGCCCCATAGGAGCTCCACCGAAGGCGCCAGTAGCAAAGTGCGCATGGCGGCGTCAGGCCATTTCGGCACACCCCTCACGAGGATCGTGGCCCCATAGGAGCTCCACCGAAGGCGCCAGTAGCAAAGTGCGCATGGCGGCCTCGGGCCATTTCGGCACACCCTCACGAGAATCGTGGCCCCATAGGAGCTCCACCGAAGGCGCCAGTAGCAAAGTGCGCATGGCGGCCTCGGGCCATTTCGGCACACCCCTCACGAGGATCGTGGCCACATAGGGAGCTCCACCGAAGGCCCCAGTGGCAGGGTTCGCATGGCGGCTTCGGGCCATGTCGGCACACCTCTCACGAGGATCGTGGCCACATAGGGAGCTCCACCGAAGGCCCCAGTGGCAGGGTTCGCATGGCGGCCTCGGGCCATTTCGGTACACCCCTCACGAAGATCGTGGCCCCATAGGAGCTCCACCGAAGGCGCCAGTAGTAAAATGCGCATGGCGGTCTCGGGCCATTTCGGCACACCCCTCACGAGGATCGTGGCCCCATAGGGAGCTCCACCGAAGGCGCCAGTAGTAAAGTGCGCATGGCGGCCTCGGGCCATTTCGGCACACCACCTCACGAGGATCGTGGCCCCATAGGAGCTCCACCGAAGGCGCCAGTAGCAAAGTGCGCATGGCCAGTAGCAAAGTGCGCATGGCGGCCTCGGGTCATTTTGGGCACACCCCTCACGAGGATCGTGGCCCCATAGGAGCTCCACCGAAGGCGCCAGTAGCAAAGTGCGCATGGCGGCCTCGGGCCATTTCGGCACACCCCTCACGAGGATCGTGGCCCCATAGGCGCTCCACCGAAGGTCCCAGTGGCAGGGTTCCCATGGCGGCCTCCGGCCATCTCGGCACACCCCTCACGAGGATCGCGGCCCCATAGGGAGCTGCACCGAAGGCGCCAGCGGCAGGGCTCGCATGGCGGCCTCGGGCCTTTGCGGTACACCTCTCACGATGATCGTGGCCACATAGGGAGCTTCACCCAAGGCGCCAGTGGCAGGGTTCGCAAGGCGGCCTCGGGCCATTTCGGCACACCCCTCACGAGGATCGTGGCCCCATAGGGAGCTCCACCGAAGGCGCCAGTGGCAGGGTTCGCACGGCGGCCTCAGGCCATTTCGGCACACCCCTCACGAGGATCGTGGCCCCATAAGGAGCTCCACCGAAGGCCCCAATGGCAGGGTTCCCATGGCGGCCCAGGGCCATAGCGGCAGCCCCATAGTTGTGCTGCTTCAACATCCGCGCCTGGGCGTCGTACTCCGCCTTCTCGACGTGCACCGACACCTCCTCCCTCATGGCTCTGAAAGCCCTCTCCTGCTTCTGCTCCTCGGTCAGAGGGACGCCGTCCTTGTCGTCGTCGGCGCCAGCGAAGACGGCCACGAACGTGTTCCTGAGCATGTCGGGCTCCGGCGGGAAGCCGTGGCCACACAGGGAGCGCGGGCGAAGATGGTATTCACAATTGCGGTATTCACATCTGCATATGGTTGGGTCCTTCGCCAGGCTAATTCCCAACCGTCCTGTGGTGTTGGGTCCTCGTTTTGAAGAGACAGCGCCCCGCGTTCCTCCTTCCCGCCCTCCTCCTC